ATTTCCAATTCAAAGATGTTATTCTGCTCTTCAAATGTAAAATTTTCGACGAAATTCGCAAATCTTGCTAATTGGACTTTAATCGCCTTGTATTTTATGATTAAATCTTCTAAGTCTGTCATTGTGACAAGTTATTCGATTAATAATGAATATTAATTGAAAATTGATTTATTTGGAATATGGAAGGTAGTTCTGTATTCGAAAGTAAGTAATAATAATAAAACCAATGAGTATTTTATTAACTGTACCTCTTATGTTGAATTGCACTGCGTACTGACCCGGAATAGAGAACAATACAAAATTCTACCTGACCTTGCTGTTGTGGAACGATATCCTGATGTTCTGTTGTACCAGCTGCTCACGGTTGTCTGCTCTGTGTCTGTATCACAGGTCTGGATGCTTGGCCAGCTGCTTACATCAACCGTCGTCTGGAACTTGTTGCTTCTTGCGCCTTTCGATTGACTCGATGTTGCCTTCTCGAATGACGACTCTCGCTGATGATGAATTCTGTTGAACTCTTGAATCCGCTCGATTGGACCAATATGTTCGATGCTCTTGGTGATGAGTGTGGACTGTATTTCGATCGTTGAATAAAAACTGATATGATATGAAGAATAAAAGGGAAATTGCAACCGATTGCAATTTCTCTCCCAACTTTATTGATTCAATCTTATGTTTCAACAACACGTCGTCATGATAACAACAAATGAAATCCTATCCTATATAGGGTAATACCACTAGCAACTACCATTATACAGGATCATACAGGTAAAGTACTGGACATACATGGTGTCTTAACTACTTGACCTAGTACAAAGTACCAAACAAATGGTATCAGACGATACACCGTCCACCACCACGTGAAGCGATCTGCCTGAAAGAAAACTCGATAAGAGATGGCATAGCTGAGGTGGTAAGCCGAATGATGGTAGTTTGTGGAGGAGTCCTTCGTGCCAAACACGGTCGAATGCTTTCGATATGTCCAACGCGACAGCTAGAGATTTCTGTTTTTCTAATGAAGCTTGCCATAAATGGGCGATGTAGGCAAGTAGATCTCCAGTAGATCTTCGGTGGCGAAAGCCGTATTGTCTATCATTGATGATTCCTGAGCTCTCCATATAGTTGATAAGCTCAATATTGAAGGCTTTCTCCATCACTCTGGAGATAACTGATAACAGGGCAATGGGCCTGTAGTTGTTGGACAGGTTCTTCATATTACGAACCTACTTCTAATCAAAACTTCCAAATGGGGTGACACAATATACAAATCAATCAATTTATGATGACAGAAGTGTCAAATTGACTTCTGTTGAAATGTCGTCAATTGTCCATGGCTATACCTTTGTAATGCATAATGATTTGGACCGAAAGATAGACCGCCTGAAGCACAATTTGAAGAATGATGCTTTAAAAAAATGCGTTCGTTGATAAAATCATATATATATCGTGGGAGGAAATATATAACTTTCCTCCCTTGATATCTAAATAGATATTATCATCACTCCATCAAAGATACTTTGAAAATCGTTTCGTCTGACGAAGCTCTGTAAATTTTACAAAAAATTGATTGTCAGATATTTCCATACCTATTCATGCAAGTATTTTCATTCCCCTGTATAAATAGAAATATCTCGTCGGAAGCATAATATAGCCCTCTTGACATCCTGACTTCTCGAAGTTAATTTAACACAGCTTTAGTGGCCCATGCCTACTGTGATCTCTTGAATAAATATCAGGTGCTATTACTTTTACTTTGCTTTCACAGACTAGTTTACATAGTACGAGAAACTGTTCCCATTTATGCGGAAAACTCATGGAAAGTGTTCGTCTAGCCCCTCTGAATCTTCTTGCACTTCAGAAGCGGTTCGTAAAATGAAAGTCACTTCAAATTATTCATGATTAATTATTGTGTTCTCCACAAAATTCATGAAAACACGACTCATTACTGGTACAATACACTGCTTGTCCGTTGGTCGTACCTTGTATGTCTCGTGTCCAGAATATACTCGCTATTTTGGTAACGGTATACCCTTGGGATGTAGTAAGAAGTACCTATACCCATATAGCACACAATGGGCGTATATCACAAAAAAATTTTATTCCATAATTCGACAGAACTCACTCAAACTAGCTCACCACCGCAAACCGTTTCTTGCTGTGAGCTCCCTACGTTTCATAAAAAATTATTGAAATCCCCGATTTTTCGGACCTCTGAAAACGAGGCGATAATGTGACGTCAAAACCCTAATACAGAAACAAGACTATTCCAGACAGAGATGAATGATACATGATTTCTGACAGAGTGAATTAGCGCGAGATCACAGTTGAAAGAATAATTAATATAGCAGTTGCCTCAGTCTCCATCGGGCGTTTGGTATTTTCTCTTAACTATGGCCAGATGAGGTTTCTACGTCATAAGAGGGTCCGTTTTCAGAAGGTAGTATTATTTATGTCTAAAATTAAAACATTCCAGTTAATTTTTCTCGATCGAATTATCTCGTCAATCATTATTTATGTATAAAAGGATCATTATCAACATGGTTTGAGTTAAAAGTTCTACTAAGGTGTACACGCCCATTGTCTGAAAACATCCTCAAAATGTCGACAATAGCCTCAAAAGGGCGTTCTATTTTCTTCGTCCTGATAACGTTATTAGGCTGCAAATGTTCACTTATATTTATGTAAAGAGTGCCTTGAACATCTCATCTCACGACCTTTAGGAGAGTCATGTTATTAAACAGCTGCACAAAAAACATGAGACACGTATATGTTTCATAAGAGATGATGGAATGTTATTTTTACGTACCCCTTCATGTGATGTCTTCTCGTCTTTGGGTAACTCAAATATGAATGGTAACCACCATTCTTAGAAGAGAGAAAGAGAGAGAGAGAGAAGACCTATAGGTATTCGAAAAAAATTTCGTGGGGACATACTCAAAAAAATATCTTCCATTTGGTATCAAATCCTTCCCAATACATCCTCGATTAGGATATGAAAATTGATTTCCTCAAAAGGTATGTGAAACATCTTCAGGTCGACCTGGTGTATTGTGAGAGGACATATTTTAGCAATGAAAATATAAATACCTGGAAGGGATCCTCTGTGAACGACGAGTGAGGCAAAAATATTGTTCAGGCAACCCGCAGTGGTTACGGATACCTATCTCTTTCTATCTTATGTTGGCTAATTGGGGAGCGCTCGCATCATTTGAAATATGTTCTTGTTTTTTGCTTTTATTTCAGAGTATACGTGATCAAATATAGATATCAATTTAGGAATAAGTATAATGTAGCAATCAATTATTATTTGAAAATAGTTATTGATTTTTTTATTGACTCAAAAGTGGAATTCCATTTTTATTCTTACAGGATTAGGAGGCAAATGAATACAAAATTGAAATTATATATTCTCATCCTAATGTCACAATATATTGTATAGGGTGAGAGAAACTCAATGTTTCAGCACTATCAGGAGAAATAGAAAAACGATAGAAAAAATTTGAAAAGAGGTTCTTGAATGGTATCGAGTACCTAAGGTCTATTTTAAGCCTAATTTTCAAGAGTACCTCTTCTTCCATAAACATTTCACTATTAGGAGGTGAATGAAAGGTGAATAAAAAGTTAATAAAAGTACAATATTAGAACTTTTTGTTTCAGTGTTTCCACTTTTCTTTGCAATAGAATAGGCCTACTCGAATGAAACAGTTGTGTAGCATTATTTGAGAGATCATTTTTTTTCTTCGAAACAATGCGGTATATGAAATTTCTACAAGAGTAATAAAATGAAGGTAATTGATTAGTCTTCGAACTCAAAAAACTTCAGAACCGTATTATGACCCCTAAAAAAGTTCTTGTAAAAATGTCAGGTGGTCAGGGGGGTTCTAACCCTTCTACAATTTCTTTTAGGTTTCTTCGATTATCAAAAGGAGAGTAATCCTCTGAAATCCACTATTGCCAAATTTCATTGAATTCGTTTCACTTATTTCTGAACAGCGTACAAGAATGTGTTTTTTCATGTGAACTGTGAACCCTTCTCACGGACAAACGGTACATTTTGGGACATACATAAATTGGGTACAATCAACTTATTTTGACTTCCTCTACACCTGATAGCTCTGTGTCCCAGCAATCTTGGGACACAATGTATATACAGGGTGATTCACATAACAACCGACATAGGGCAGGGGCATGTAAGGGGTCCCAAAATATGGCAATTTAACGCAACTTACCTCTATACCAAGTTGCTTCCCTCAGGAGTTATAGGCATAGCACTAACAGCATGTCAACTTGCTCGTTAAAAGAAAACTTCCCGTTCATTTCAGAAACACTCAAACAACAATTACTTAATTGAACAACTCACTTGTCTCATTGCCAAGTTTGACGTTTATTTTCATAGCCAACTTTTGAATTTTCGATGATTTTAAATAACACACCTAGAGCGCGCGTTTTCAGTTATTCGAGTTTTTGATGAAAATGATGTGGTTTTTCGAAAAATTACTAGAGTAAGAAAAGTTTTAAAATTGAATTGCCCATTAAACAAAGCAAAGATTTTTGAAATCCATCGAGTGTTAACAAAATTATGTTGAATATTAATGGTGCGCCACCCGGTATACCCCCTTTACAAATTTCAATTGAACTCTAGTTACTGTCAAGTGACGCCCTGAATATATCCACAAAGTGTACCATATTTGGTTGCTTTAAGTTCAAGAATAACGGAGATATTGATTTTTTTCAAAATTTATAACTTCACTTTCAAAGCCTTTATCTCCTTAGGGAAGCAACTTGGTATAGAGGTAAGTTGCGTTAAATTGCCATATTTTGGGACCCCCTACATGCCCCTGCTCTATGTCGGTTCTTATGTGAATCACCCTGTATGTTGTGGAACTTTTTGGTGGTCAGCGGATATTTGTTGGCCGTCACTAGGATGTCCTAGGGATGTCCTTCTGATGATTGGGGGATATCCAGGAATATCCAGCGGTTGATTGAGATTTTGTTTTCAGAGATGGAAGATGATTTGGCAGGCTGAACACTCGTCTGATAACAGCGCTTTGACGTATTGCGCAGGAACCGAGGTGTGACCTGAGAACATTCCCCATTCCTACACTATCGAATGGTTAGTTTAGGTTTTACATGTATAGGGTGTAGATATAATAATAATATATGTATTTATTCTGGAAGAGACATTCATATGAAATTTAGAGAAAGAATTAATCCGTTTGTGAAAGCATAATTATTATTGAGTCAATATTAGTTCCTAGTGCCTAGTAGAAGTTGAATTTCGATTCATTTTTGGGTGAATTCAAACTTCTCGTTCTCAGATTGACCAGCACAAAGTTTCATTGGCCATCAACTCGTTAATTCACCGACTTTTGACAATGTCAAAATGATGAGCTAAAATTTCAAATTTATACTCATGATTTTGGACACATTATAAAATTTGGAGCATTGTCAGTTGAATTCATGAGAGACAAAAAAAAACTATAGGTAGTAGGAGGAAATAAGTCACTACAAGTAATTCTGAATGTTATAATACCTTCATACAGTGTGTCCCACTTTGAAGAGTACCACACTTGAATTTACTTATTCGTTGACATTTAGTGCGCTCTACTTTTCTCAATTTCCTCATAGCAATATTGCACGGTCAAATATGGTCGATAAGGATTGCTAAAAAACACCTAATATCGGGCATATTTTCAGCGAAAACAAATATCATTAGTAAGTTAAGAAACTGCTGAAATACGTATTATGTTTCTATTTTCACGAAGATATCATATAGAAAGCGTTTTTCAGTGAAAATAATCTATTTTTCGAGAAAAAAATCGTACAAAAAATATTGGAATATCATGATTATATTCAGATAATCCTAGAACACCTATTCAGTAGTCAAGAAATAGGATGGCACAAGGACGGCACTGTTCAAAGTGACACACACGGTATACTGTCAGTTACACTTTTAAATGAATGTCTTTTCGAAATGTTGGTTGTTAGAGATCTTTATGAAACAAGTGGAATACCAGCCATATTCCGCTTGGAATTTCAGAGTTTATTTGAAAATTATTTTGTTGTTAGATGTTGTAGAATTGGAATGAAAGAGGCTGATCAAAGAATGTACCTATTTGCCTCAATTTATTTTATTTTCAAGGTTCGAAGGACAAAAAGAGAGCGACATAATATATTTTTTGATTAGCCTCTGTTGCATTATCTAAGTATTACATAATAGTTTGTATATATACTCATATTAGGAGCTATAATCGACAATATTTGTATAGAAAAACATTTTTGTGTGATTATTTATGTATAGAAATCAATCAATGAGTGCGATATCAGCCAAAATCTCACTCATGTACAATAAAATAGCTGTTATGAATATCTTAAATGAAAAAAAGACATTGTACTTAGTCAAAATAATGATTGTACAAACGTGTTCAGACAGAGCTCACGGAAAAACTGTCATCTATCAGTACTGATTCCATGTTTTCCTCGTGATGAAGAAGAAAGTGAAAAAATCAAGAAGCCTTCTCTGATTGATGCCTTCACAATCTTAGATGGCAGATATAGAAGCAAGAGACAATCAAAAATCAAAAAAAATTTGACAGACCACGATCATTATCAAATGACTGCCCTGTATATTATGTGTTATGAAAGCATGTCTAGCAAAATTCAGTTGTATACGAATTAGAACATTCTATCTAATGTTTCATTTTAGATTGATATTTTTGATAGTATACAGTGTGTCCCACTTAGCATGCTCACCATGGGTATCTTTTAAACGGTGAGAGATACGAGGTCGGTTGAATGACACCAAATGTGGAGTTTGTCAAGGGCCAACTATAATGTGAAGAAATATTTTGATAAAATCTATTCGTTTTTGTTTTATACGCAAAAAACAGATTTTGATCATTTTCATGTCTCCTCCGTAACTTATTTATTTATGGAAATATTCAAATAGGAATTCCACATTCTCATGGCAGTTTTTCAAAGTGATTTCGAAAAAAATATGAAATTTATACCAACACTTCTAGAATTTGAGATATCAGCACCAACTTTTGTTTTTCAAATACAGGTCATAGCACACTATGACTTAGTTACAAATAACTTTTTTTTCTCTTTCAGATGATATATCGCAGTAATACTTTTGTGTTGATAACAACGGAGTTATCGTCATTTATACAAGAACAAAAAATTATTCGGAAGCCGCCATCTTGAATTTATAAATTTTAACAAAAAAATCATGATCTCCGACTTCAAAAACCCCCACTTACCAATTTTGAATATAATCGCACCAAATCTTGTCCGCCATCTTGAAGCAGCCATTTTTTTTTAATTTCAACAAACATTCCATAACTCCGATCAACTTGAAATTTGGCAGGTGTTCATAATTTCGGTGACAATACATTATGGAATTTTTGTTGAAATTAAAAAAAATGGCTGCTCCAAGATGGCGGACAAGATTTGGTCCGATTCCATTAAAAATTGGTAAGTGGGTGTTTTCGAGGTCGGAGATCATGATTTTTTTGATGAAATTTATAAATTCAAGATGGCGGCTTCCAAATAATTTTTTGTTCTTGTATAAATGACGATAACTCCGTTGTTATCAACACGAAACTATTACTGCGACATATCATCTGTAAGAGGAAAAAAAGTTATTTGTAACTAAGTCATAGTGAGCTATGACCTACATTTGAAAAACTAAAGTTGGTGCTGATATCTCAAATTCTAGAAGAGTTGGTATAAATTTCATATTTTTCTCAAAATCACTTTGAAAAACTGCCATGAGAATGTGAAATTCCTATTTGAATATTTTCATAAATAAAGAAATTACGGGAGACATGAAAATGATCAAAATCTGTTTTTTGCGTATAAAACAAAAACGAATAGATTTTATCAAAATATTTTTTCACATTATAGTTGGCCTTGACAAACTCCACATTTGGTGTCATTTAACCGACCTCGTATCTCTCACCGTTTAAAAGATACCCATGGTGAGCATGGTAAGTGGGACACCCTGTATACAGTACAGGGCCAAAACTACTAATGTAGTCTCGTTTTGGTGACGTTCTGAAATTATTGTGGAACCTCTCAGAAATCAAAAACTACATTTACTACATTACTTAATCAATTTATACATGTTTTTTTCAACAGAATTTTAACTTATAGGTATTCCAAGATATCTGAGTTTTGACCATATACTTATGAGACACCCTATATTTTCTAGCCTGTTGCAAAAATAAACTGAAACCAAGATATAGTTTTGTAGATAGGAAAAACCTTGATGGAATTATCGATTCAGGTGAAACTTGATCGCGAATGTTATATTTAGTTCGTGACCTGTTTTATATACCGGATGGCTCAACGAACAAGAAAATGGAAGATGTCTATTTTGAAAAAAAATTAAAATATGACACTTTCAAGTGGATGAGAGGAGAATGACATGTTGCAGAATATTATGTTTTTCTGAATGACTTTGAATTGACTTATTTCAGAGTTTTCTCAACAAACAGTTAGATTAGTTCTTCAGTTAAACCTAGAACAGCCCCTATGGTACTGATCCCTATACTTTCAAGAAATAATATTCTCGTTAGCTGTTTTGTGAAATCCACAATGACATAATATGTTACACAATGAGAAGCCATTTGAACATTTGTACACATTGAAACAAACGAAGGGCCTGATGTTTTCAATATGTACATACGTGGCACTTCCGATTGAGGTATTGTTCTGTTGAACGAAATAGCAGCCATATTTCGTTCAACAAAAAAAAGCTCATTGAATTAAACGAGTATTGGGAATTGGCAATTATTGTGACGTTGAAATACTATAGGGATTCTCTTTAATACCGTTATCATAAATTCGTTTCACTTTTATAAAAATTACGATACGCACATATCCTATTATAGCATTGGGAAATAAACAGGCTGAAAAATATAGAATGTACAACAAGTATAGATTATGTAAATCAGTTTCCATGGACATCTTGAGGAATCATTTGAACATTTAGAAACTTCTTACCTCTTTTTGTGGAAATATCAATTTCAATTTTGGTGTGAATTCCATAAAGTTTAACAGCCATGAAACTTTTGGAATAGATAATACCTACTACTGGGTGTTTTATCATTTTACGCCGCAATTAAAACTTGTATTTTCTATTCGGATTCCTCTTGCACATTGTTTCATATTTTCAATGGTTGATCTAGTCAATAAATAAACAAATTAATTTCTTACTGTACCTACATCTTGTTAATTTTCCAATAAAACTGTTTTTGATTTTTCATTCAGTGTTTGTTTTTTTTTTTGAAAAAGTTAGTGAGTTGAAGCTGACTAAACCAGGGTTATTATACAGGGGGGGGGGGCTGTAGTATCAAAGTCCTATTGGATATTTCAAAAACGATTGTGAACCAAACAACAAGGTCTATAACAAGAAATAATTGTCGCATATACAGGGAGTACCGGAAGAATATGATGTAATAAAATATCTGCATTATATAAAAATACATTGAAAGTACTGTATCGTTCACCATATGATACACCAAAAAAACAATTATATAAAATAACTGAATTATTCTCATTGGAAGAAAAAAAAAGATTCACCAATGCTGCTCTTTTCGAATATAACAAATTACCAGATAATATAAAAAAAAATTGCAGAAATACTATAAAATTCAAATACCAAGTCAAAAAATTTAGCATTTCTGAACGGGATAGATGATTTTTAATCAACTTTTGATTCATATTCAAATTGATTGTTACTCACCAATATATGATTTATCAGTTCATTAGAAAGTATTGAAAAAGAATATTCTCAGATATATTTATGAACACAAAAAAATGGATATACAGGGTGTCCGCTAAAAGGAGGTCAATCCATTAACCATATATTCCTTGAACAAAAATAATATGAGTTTCTGGATACCATTTTTCATTTTAGCCCTTCTTATTCGATATACAGGGTGTCAAAGTTGAAAATTAAAAACTGTTTTTTTCTGATTACTCGCGTAATTAATAAGATATTAATCTCAAAATAGGTACATTACTTCAGCACGAAGAGTTATATCGTGTGAGGAAAACAAAACAGAAAATAACTGTCAAATATTCAAAATACTGAGGGTCAAGTACACACTTACCCCCATATTTTTTTTGTACGTGCGCTAATGACTTCCTATCTATTTTTCTTCATGTGTTCAATCATTTTTTAGTATTTTTTGATTTTTGTAAAATTCCAATAAAATTATTTGTTTTTAAGATAATTCGAAAAGTACTGGTTATTGTTTGATGCCTTGCGGCTTACGGTAATCTCATAATGTTCACATACTCCTATTTATTTCGTCGAAATTGGAAGAGGGCGTATCTTATTACGTACGGAAAGGTGAATATGGAAATACCGGGTGCTCAGAGCGAATTTCCTACTCATTTCGGATATCATATCCTCATCAGTAACCTGAAGTCCAGTTATCTTTTCAGCCATTCTTCATGATATACACAATTTTCATCTCCCTGTATGATGAATATCAATTTATCATACATACAAAAAGAGTTCATTATAATTGAATAGTTTCAGGTATTATTGTCAACTATACTTCCTTATTCCAGAACTTGATTCTGACTGGAAATCACATTTACAACAAATGAATAAAAGTCCATAAATGAATGAATAAACATTTTTTCAACAAACGTCAAAATTTAAGTTCTAGAGTAGTAACATGCTCAGTATTAGTATTGAGAAAAAAAAGAGAAAAATAATTAGAAATAGTGTTGAACTGGCTTAAAAGACCTCTCCCTATCCTCCCTAGGTACGCACGATGTTCCACGAACATTATAGGAATTTCCATTCGTGCGCTCCGAAAGATAAGAAAAAAATATTAAACATTCAGAAATAAATAAATGTCTTGGATGTTTGCTCGATTGAGGACCATGAGAAGTGTGAATACAAATATCCCATACAGTTTACATAAAAATGCGCGAAGTAGTAACGTAGGAAACTGAAAAAAAGTGTCACTTTGCAATTTGTTAGCAATGCGGAAACCTTGTCATTTTTCGACGTTTGTAGAAAATAGTTCTTTTTGTATCTAGTGCTCAAAATGGTACTCTGGTGATCGAAAGCTGATGTTATAACGAAGCGGACGAGTTGCAAACAACATTTTTTCTACAGACTAACAGACTGAATTTAGCAATCGCGGAAAAGCTATAACAGGGTAGGAAAAACAGAGAATCTATGAATATTTTCAACTTTGATAGCCTTCATCTCAAAAACGGAACGATTCTACACATATGTGTATAGGAACCAAGCCAAGGAATCCTTCAATGTGTATATGACATTTAGGAACACCCTGTATCTGATATCCCTGTTACAAACCGATTCACGTATATACAGGGTGTCCAATAATGAGCCTGCTGAACTGCATCAGTAGCTTCTACGGCCAATAATAGGAAGAGAAGTTTCAATGAACATGGGTCGTAAAATCGATCCTAAGGAAGCTACGGTAAGTATTTTCGAAACGCCATGTGGTGAAATGATACAATTTGGTATGATTCATATTATCGATATCATAGATATTATCGACAATTTTGATAAAATCGATAATATCGATAATATCGATGAACCGATGATATCGAAACATTGTGATAATCGATAATCCAAATTCACGATCGCCCACCCCTAGTCCCACCCTGTATGATACACTCCTAAATGAAATTCTGGAATCATTTTGCATTAGGAGTTGGAAAGAGCACTTGTACAGAATTGCGTCATTTTATCACATGACGTTTCGAATGCGTTCAGGAGACCCCTTTGAAGAGGCCGTATATAGCAGCCATTTTTCGTCTCATACACTCAGTTCCGAAAAAAGTGACGCACTTGATATTTGACCTATATCTTCTTAAAAAATAAAACAAAAAATAGTAGGCCGATTTTTATTTTTTTTTATTTGTTGGTAGGTAATGCATTTGTCTTGAAAAAAAATAAAGAGGTGAAAATTGTTTCAAAGCCTCCTTGATGGTGGTGGAATAATTCGCACCATGATTTATTCTTAATTTTTGACTCACCCTGTGTGTTAATGTGTTAATTGAGTAATGGTATACAAAGTGCTAACACCCTATACGAAAGAGGCTCCTTTTGCGGACATTTTGTTCTTTTATTCATTGATTTATCTCTAAAATTTTTCGAATTACAGCTTTTTTGCTGATACCTTACGCTTATCACACAAATTAATTTTATTGAAGGATCAGAGTACTCAAAATTGATTGGGATGTACTCTGGTAGGATCACATTGTCTAGCAACTAATTTGTTGTATGCCTCCATATTTGACCATTTGTCATTGTGTCATTAATTAAGTGTCTTGTTTTATTGACTAAAATTACATAAAATGCCTCAAATAAATCCTGAACAAGTAGCAAGATTAGTTGCGTTAGTTTTAATGGTGGGTCCGTTATGGTGTGGGGAGGGATTTCAATGAATGGAAAGACACCCCTTCATGTTTTTCCGGTGAGGCAGTCGATGAATGCCCAAATTTAGATTGACATTTTAGAGCAGTATTTCTTACCTTATGCAGAGTTAGTGGGCAATAATTTTATATTGATGCAGGATAATGCCCGACCACACACTGCAGCAATAGTACAAAACTTCTTAGAAGCTACTGGTATTACCACATTACAATGGCCTGCGAGAAGCCCCGATATGAATCCTATAGAACATTTGTTGGGATGAATTAGGGAGAAGGGTACGTTCTCGCGAGAGGTCTCCGGAAAGTCTCGCAGAAATGGCAGATGCATTAGTGAAAGAATGGGATCGTTTACCAATGGAAACGATAAGCAACTTAATTTTCAGTATGCCTCGTAGATTAGAAGTTCTTAGAGTTACTAGAGGAGGCAATACACGGTATTAAGCAGTCATCCCAATTTATAATTTTGTGTTTAATAAAAATGTTTTTGAAATCATTGGTATCAGTTTATTCCATTAGAAAATTGTTTCTCGATAAACTCAGAAAGTTGGTAATCTGCAAGGATTCAGCAAAAAAAGCTGTAATTTGGAAAATTCCAGTTATAAATCAATGAATAAAAGAACAAAATGCTCGCAAAAGAAGCCTCTTTCGTATAGGGATATCAACAAACAGGGTGAGTCAAAAATTAGGAATAAATCATGGTTCGAGTTATTCCACCACCATCAAGGAGGCTTCGAAATAATGTTCACCTCTTTATTTTTTTTTAAGACAAATGCACAACCTACCAACAAATAAAACAAAAAAAAATCGGCCTACTATTTTTTTTTAAGAAGATAGGTCAAATATCAAGTGCGTCACTTTTTTTGGAACTGAGTGTATTTATTGGAAGTTTCCTCCGTATTTTCAGTCGAAACAATTAATGGTGAAGTTCGAAGGCTAATTCAGGGACACCTTGTATAAAATCTCTAAAATGTCAAAATACATCAAAATCACTGAAAATCGTTACTTCGGCAACGTTCATGAGTCACGAAATATCTATCACGAAAAGTGAATTTTCTTTGACGTTTGAAGAAAAATGTCAGTAAATTAGAACGAATTTGAATAGCCGATGCCTTTCCTGAAGAAAGAATATAATAGAGAACCCAGATCCAGACGTTTGGAGAAGACCAATCACAAAAATGGATTGAGGCATGCAATATTCAATACGGTAGGCGACAAATACATCGGAGATTGGAATGAAGACGAAAAAAGTGGAAAAGGTAAGCAAAGTTCATATAATTGAATTATTGATAATTATTATCGAATGTTCATAGAATGTTTCACGAGAATATTCATAGAACAATTCGTCTAAATATCCCAGGAACGTTCTTAGAATATTCCATTATATTCTATGAATGTTATCCAGGAATAATCATAGAATTTTAAATACTGTCTGTAGGTTAATCGAGGAGGTGGTACATTCATTATTCCAAATTTTTTGGGATTTTCTCCTCGTTTCTATAAAATAAAAATATGAATATTATTTCAATATACGTGTAGTAAGGACAAATCAGATGATTTGCCCCAAAATGTCACTGCGTTTAAAGAATTTTCCTATCAGAGAGCCTAAAAGAAAAATTCACTCTGATAGGAAAATTCTTTAAACGCAGTGACAGTTTGGGGCAAATCATCTGATTTGTCCCTACTACACGTATATTGAAATAATATTCATATTTTTATTTTATAGAAACGAGGAGGGAAAATCCCAAAAAATTTGGAATATATAATCATAGAATTTTAAATACTGTCTGTAGGTTATTCGAGGAGGTGGTACATTCATAATTCCAAATTTTTTGGGATTTTCTCCTTGTTTCTATAAAATAAAAATATAAATATTATTTCAATATACGTGAAGTAAGGACGAATCAGATGATTAGCCCCAAAATGTCACTGCGGGTTCAAGTTTCGTTTAGCTGAAATCAGTTATGGAAAATTTGTTGCTATGGCAACCGTTGTCATGGTAACAGGTAAACAGAAAACAAAATCCCGTGGTGAGGAAATGCATGGTTGCCAAGTTGTATCGGGTTTAGTATAGCTGAAATCAGTTATGAAAAAACTGTTGCCATGGCAACGATCGTCATGGTAAGTAGTAATCAAGAACCCGATTCCCGTGGTGAGGAAATGCGTGGTTGCCAAGTTGTATCGGGTTTTGTTTGACTGAAATCAGTTATGGAAAAACTATTGCCATGGCAACGATCGTCATGGTAACGAGTAAACAAAAATCCGAATCCAATGGTGAGGAAATGCGTGGTTGCCAAGTTGTATCGGGTTTAGTATAGCTGAAATCAGCGCAATCTTCGACCCTCAAATTTTTTTTCTGCTAGTATTCAAACAATAACTTGATTCGAATGAATACCCTTCTTATCAATTCCTTGAAGACTGTTCGTCGTTGATTAATTCCCAAATTACTACTTCTCTGACGATCATATATGGAAATAACGTCAGGAAAAAATTGGCTTCGTTATTGAACAGAGCTAAACAAAATAGCGAGCGACAAAATAGTGCGGAACAAATAGCGCATAAGGAAGGACACTACTTTTTCTAAACAATCTGACCTAACTCGGCTTAAATGGACCTTCTTAGAAAAAATATATTTTCAACATCGATCAGATTCGGTAGCAAGGCATCATTCGTGTGTGTTTGAAGACTGCATAAAAAAGGACACTACTTTTTCCAAACAATCTAACCTAACTCGACTTAAATCAACCTTCTTCTTGAAAAACATATATTTTCCAAGATCGTTCAGATTTGGTAGCAAGGCATCGTTCGTGTATGTTTGAAGACTGTTGCTGAATATTCCAAAATGTCTCTGTTTCTTTTCGAATTTGTCGAATAGCTCGGCACGCGAAAAATGATTACATTGAAGAGAGTTTTTGAAATTAATGAATGAAGCAATAATTCTCCGATACAAATTGGCAACCACGCATTTCCTCACCATGGAAATCGGATATTTTCTTTACTCGTTACCATGACGATCGTTGCCATGGCGATAGTTTTTCCATAACTGATTTCAGCTATACTAAACCCCTATACAACTTGGCAACCACGCATTTCCTCACCACGGGAACCGGGTTTTTGTTTACTCCTCACCATGACGATCGTTGCCATGGCAACAGTTTTTCCTTAACTGATTTCAGCTATACTAAACCCCTATACAACTTGGCAACCACGCATTTCCTCACCACGGGAATCGGGTTTTTGTTTACTCGTTACCATGACGATCGTTGCCATAGCAACAGTTTTTTCATAACTGATTTCAGCTAAACGAAACTTGAGCCGAAAAAATTTTGGAGAAGAGAAATAAAGGTAAATAAAGAAGATATCAAATTTTTACTTAGCTTTGAACGTTTCGAGAACGAATCTGCTCCCGTTTTCAAAATAAAAAATGGATTTTTTTCTGTGACGGGAAAAAAATTTGGCATTTCATCTCTGTTGGCAGGTTATAAAATGTCACTTTTCATAAATTACTTTTTTCCCGTGGGAAAAAAGTGAGTACTTTTTTCCCGGATATATATCACATAATATATATACTCTGTTAATGGCTTTTGTTGTGCTATAGTTCCGAAAAATGAGTCAATAATACCGTCTCCGAGAAAGAACTGCAATTCCTTTTATCTTTCATTCGACTTCGCGGTTTCGTATATTACTAAACAACTACTGAATTCGCAATTTTTTGAAATCAAATCACAGAATTGAACTGACAGAAGTGACATCAGATATTTGATTACTTCAAAAGAATGATAAAGATGCCTATAAAACGCAGGTGTACCTACTGTTAAAAACGGTTTTTTGTCTCCCTCCGCTACAACCTGGAGCTAAAATCTACTACTTTTTTCCCTTGTATAATAAATAACAATTTTTTTATGGAAGATTCGTATTTGCCCTGACACTTTCCAGTTCTCAGTGACAATTGGTGACGTTGGCAATCAAATGAGTTACAGAATGTTTTCTTTATTTAATCTTACTCATGAACTGTAATCGTGGCCAACTGCGACCAACTTTATTGACCCATATTTGAGAAAGTACCAGTAGGGATTTTTCTCATAAAAAACAATGAAGGATTCTGAATAACGATCACTTGAAAAACACCTTTACTGAATTTTATCATCATAAAACACAGGGTGTCCGAAAAACCGAATTATGTTTTTTTTTCTTAATGGGTGATCAGAAAATGTAGTATTGTGGTTTTTTTGAGAAGAATTGATGAGGATCACTCTGAACATATCTGTACCGATTTTCATCATTCAAAAATACGATGTGTATGAGAAAACAATTGAAAAGAAAAAGTAGGCAATATTTTTTCATCGACTCAAAACAAAAATTAATTTGATTTTTCGAACACCTATTTGAAGAAAATGATGATTCGTTTTTTCGGGCACCCTGAGTTTTATGATGATGAAAATCGGTACAGGTATATTTCAAGTGGTACGTTCTGGAATATGGGTCATTGAAATTTGTCGCAGTTGGCCACGATAACAGTCCAAGAATTAGATCACTCTCTCGTTGGATCGGCATTTCAAATACATATCCAACAAAAAAAGGTTTTTCTAAATTGGTCGGATAATAACGATTCAACAGGGGTGGTAAGTCCTTAAGGTGGACACACTGTATATCCATTTTTTTGTGTCCATAAATATATCTGAGAATATTCCTTTTCAATACTTCCACCCAATCAAGAAGTTCAAACTTGAACGATGGAAACTTGTTATTTTGCTAGATTTTCAATCGCAGATTCGTGATTAGGTTTTCTCAATTCAGAACTTCTTTCCACGTCCTGTATGATTGTTTATTGTTTATTGAAAAACTAGCTTCCAGTCAGAAATAAAATTCTGGTATGAGGAAGTTGATTACAAACAACAATAATAAAATAATATAAGGTGACAACAACAACAACAATAAAAATCTAAAAAATCTAAGAATGCTAATCGATCAAGTCATAAAAAGAGCCACAGGAACTAATCAGTAGATGGCAAAGTATCAATTTTATCCATTTCATAATGAAATCATGTATTTTTTCAATTCAATTTTGAATTTTGAAATATGTCTGCAATTTTTATATTATGTGGTAATTTATTGAATTCAGCTAGAGCAGCGTGAGTGTATTTTTTTTGGCCAATTATAGAAGTAGCAGAATCAAGATGAAATAAGTTTAATTGTCTCGTGTGATGACCATGAATTTCTGAGTTTCTTACCAAAACAAAATTGGATTTCAGATTATTGTTTATTATATTATATGAAACTTTAAGAGAATCTATTTTATATAATTCATCCAATGAAAATTTTTCTGTTATCGCATACAGATCATTTGTTGGAATATCAAATGAGAGGCGATACAATACTTTCAGTGCTTCCTTATAAAGTGCAGATATTTTACTGAAATATTTTTTTGAACAAGATCCCCAAACGTTTATTATATAGGTAATACGACTGAGTATATGAGAATGAAGTACTATGTTTATGACTTTTTTGTCAAGTTTAGGACATCTTCGCAAAGCTCCAATGATTGGAGATATTTTTTGTATCAGAACCTCTATATGCTTGTCCCATTTCAATTTTTCATCAATCCACAAACCAAGATACTTTATTTGTGTAGTTCTTTTCAATACTTTATTTTTAATTTGGAGATTGAGACTAATATTCTTTTTATTTTTTTGATGGAATATTATATATTCAGTTTTATTGGTGTTAATTGTTAAAATGTTTGAATAAAGCCATTTTTCAATTTTTTTCAAATCTTCGTTAATAATATTTTCTAGAATGATGGGGTTTTTGTTTTCGTATAGAAGTACAGTATCATCTGCATATATAGTATAATTACCTGACAATCCAATTTTAGAAATATTTTGAATATATAATAAATACAAGATGGGCCCTAAAACAGATCCCTGTGGAACACCTTTACTTATTGGAAATTTATTAGACTCTGACATATTACATTTAGTGCTGATTGTCCTATTCGCAAGATAAGATTCTAAAAGATTTTTAACAATGCCTCTGAGTCCCATCGATTCCAATTATTCTAAGAGATTCTTATGAATATCAATTTATCAGATTAAGATGAGATATGTTCCCCAGGTATTCTTCTCACTCGCAATGACGAACTATACGAGGGCGACTTCGAAAGGAACTACCGCCATGGTTACGGCAAGCTTGCCCACAAACTGCCCAACAAGAACATCTTCAATTTGACGTACAAAGGTGACTGGGTGAACGGCAGAATGCATGGCAACGGTGTCAGGATTTACAAGGACGGAAGTTCTTATCGCGGGGATTTCCGGTATGGCAAGAGACACGGAAGGGGTCAGATGTGGTAGGTTGTATTTTAATTGTGATATGCAATAGGCCTGTTCGTTTGTGTTTGTTCTACCTGGCATCGACGGAATCCCAGCGATTGTTCTTAAGAAATGTGCTCCCGAACTAACACCTGTTCTCTGCAAGTTGTTCAACTACTCTTATACAAATTGGGGATATTCCTGTCCAACTGGAAAATTGCAAGAGTACAACCAGCTCCTAAAAAAGGCAAAAAGACCCTACCTAACAACTACAGACCGATCGCACTGCTATCTATTATTTCAAAGATCATGGAGAAAGCTATCAACATCGAACTCATGAAATACCTGGAACATTCAGGTATTATCAACGATAGGCAATATGGCTTCCGTTATCAGAGATCATCTGGTAACCTGCTCGCTTACGTCTCACATAATAATATATGACAGCAATCTATTGAGAAATATGGTGAAACCTCAGCCGTGGCACTCGATATCTCCAAGGCATTCGATCGAGTCTGGCACCACGGACTCCTCTCATCTCATGGCTTGTCTCCCCAGCTTTGTTCTCTGCTTGCTAGTTTTCTCTCAAACAGGTCTCTCCATGTAGTGGTCGACAGAGTTTCATCTGACTCTCTTATCATAAATGCTGGTGTTCCGCAAGGATCAATTATAGGACCAACACTATTTCTACTCCATATCAACGATTTGTTGGAAGCAACTTCATGTCCAGTACACAGCTTCACGGATGATAGTACCCTCCATACCGCCTTCTCTTTTAGGGCTCCAATACCAGCCAAGCAAATCAGAATCGAAAGAGGGAGAAATGTATAGACTTGGCAACAATTCTGGAATGGGGATCCAATAACTTGGTGGATTTCGATGCAAACAAAACACAAGCATGCCTCTTCTCTAGGAAAGCCGATCACTCTGTGCCCAACATAAGCATATCAGGAGTAACTATACCTTTGAAGACATCCATTTCGATGTTTGGTATTACTATCAGCAATAACGTTTCTTGGGAAAATCACGTGAGATCAATTGCATCCAAAAAAACTTTTCTTTTTCGGGCCAAGAGCTATTTCACTTCCAGTCAGCTGCTTATGAGGCACAGATCCGACCTGTCCTGGAATACTGTTTCCATATTTGGAGTGCAGCACCCAAACATATCCTGAAACTGTTGGATTCTGTCCAAAAGAGGGCAGAGAGGGGAGATTAACCCGTCGAGTTGAGGCCTGGCACCTCTTCGTGGTCACTTTGGAGACCTGCAGAACATTGATTGATTGATTGTCTTTATTACCCCAAGAAACATTTCTGTTTATGATAGGGATACATAAATACATATAAAAAAATAATAATAAAGGGTTAACTATAATGAATTCCACTCAGTGGAAACGAATTAATATTGTGTCATAAGATTGAAGTTATATTTCATTCCTAAGTAATCAAATCATGCCACATATTTTTCTTTCAAATTGTCCTGAGCAAGTATTTTTTAAGATTGATTTTGAACCTTCTTGCATCATGTATATTTTTTAACTCATTCGGTAATGAATTGTATAAAATTATTCCATTGACTCGTTTATCCATCGAACAGCGAGGCTCTGGAACACATTGCCAAGGAAGGTGTTCCCCGAGGCATATAACCTCCAAAAATTTAAGAACACCAATTCCTACCTGATTTTCCTTGGTTCTCACGATGTTCTCTGAACATTACAGGATATCCCTTTTCGTAGGAACCAGAACATAAAAAAAACCTGCTAAACTCGATATTTTTTTTTAATAATGTCTATTTACATTATGCCATGAACAGATACAACTATAGGAACAAAATCAACTTTAGCAAGTTCAGCAACACAAACGAACAGACCTATTGTATCGATGGACAACATACAGAATGGGCTTATATCACAAAAAAATTATTTCATAATTCGATAGAACTCACCCAAATTAGCTCATCACCGCAAACCGTTTCTTGCTGTGAGCTCCCTACGTTTTATAAAAAATTATTGAAATCCCCGATTTTTCGGACCTCTGAAAACGAGGCGATGATGTGACGTCAAAACCCTAATACTGAAACAAGACTATTCCAGACAGAGATGAATGATACATGATTTCTGACAGAGTGAATTAGCGCGAGATCACAGTTGAAAGAATTAATATATCAGTTGCCTCAGTCTCCGTCGGGCGTTTTGGTATTTTCTTTTAACTATGGCGAGATGAGGTTTCTACGTCATAAGAGGGTCCGTGTTCAGAAGGTACTATTATTTATGTCCAAAAATAAAACATTCCAGCTAATTTTTTCGATCGAATTATGTCGTCGGTCATTATTTATGTATAAAAGGATCTTTATAAACATGATTTGAGTAAAAAGTTCTACTAAGGTGTACACGCCCATTTGAATGAAAAATATGTAACATGATTTGATTATTTAGAAATGAAATATAACTTCAACCCTAAGAAACAATATGAATTCGTTTCCACTGAGTGGAATTCATTAGTTAACTCTTCATTATTTTTTTTATATGTACTTATGTATCCCTATCATAAACAGAAATGTTTCTTGTAACCATAGCAGAAGAATGTAAAATTCACTTATTTGCCGACGACACCCTACTGTACTTTAGTAGTGATGATGTGCATGAGTGTGTTGATACTATGAACGCTGGTCTTGAAAGGGTGAATAGATATTGCTGTGCAAATCTGCTAAAGGTGAACGTAAATAAAACAAAATGGATGTTATTAGGAAAACATAAAGATCATAATAATGAAAATCTACTTCTAAGATTGAATGACAGTGATATAGAAAAGGTGAAAAAATTCGTGTACTTGGGTGTTACCATTGACAATGAATTGAAATTCAAGGAACATGCTAATCAGGTCATCAAAACAGTAGCTTACAAAGTCAATTATTTAAGAAGATGTTCCCTATATCTAAGCCAGTGGTCTAAACTATTAGTATACAACTCCATAATCCTTCCACATTTAAATTACTGTTTCACTATTCTGTTTTTTCTCAACCAGAATGAAATAAACAGACTACAAAAGATACAGAATCGTGCTATGCGAATAATCTTACAATGCTCAAGGATAACACCGATAACAAATATGTTGCAAACCATGGCTACCAGTGAGAAAACTCTTCGAGTATCAAACACTAATTTTCATTTTTAAAATCAAAATTGCATATTCACCTGTATATCTACAGAATAAATTATCATATGTGGCTGAAATACATGAGTATAATACAAGAAACAGAAACAATATAGAAGTTGAAAATATAAGAAAAATAGTACACATAATTCCTTATTTTATAAAAGAGTAGATTGTTTTAATGACCTCCCACAAGAAATTAAAGAGAGTGGTTCGATAGATACATTAAAAAGACGATTGGAGGATTATTTGATGAAAAATTAGTATAAAATTATTACTTTTTTATTTACCTAGTTTTTATTTACACATATGTATTTTTTATTCAGACTGATTGTATTTTTTCATGTAAATCTAAGTTTACTTATATGTGAATGTATTTACTATTGTTAATGAATTAGTTTTTCAACTAAATAAAGAGAGATATATATACAGGGTGTCCGCTAAAAGGAGGTCAATCCATTAACCATTTTTTCAAAAAAAAAATGAAAAAATTTTAAAAATTATTTAATACATTCGCTCTGAGCACCCGGTATTTCCATATTTACCTTTCCGTACGTAATAAGATACGCCCTCTTCCAATTTCGATGAAATAAATAGGAGTATGTGAACATTATGAGATTACCGTAAGCCGCATAGGCATCAGACAATAACCAGTACTTTTCGAATTATCTTAAAAACAAATGATATAATCGAAATTTTACAATAAACAAAAAATACTCAGAAATGATTGAACACTTGAAGGAAAACAGATAGGGAGTCATTAGCGCACGTTCAAAAAAAATATGGGGGTAAGTGTGTACTTGACCCCCAGTATTTTGAATATTTGACAGTTATTTTCTGTTATGTTTTCCTCACACGATGTAACTCTTTGTGCTGAAGTAATGTACCAATTCTGAGATTAATATCTTATCAAATACGCGAGTAATTAGAAAAAAACAGTTTTTAATTTCCAACTTTGACACCCTGTATATCGAATATGAAGGGCTAAAATGAAAAATGGTATTTAGAAACTCATATTGTTTTTGTTCAAGGAATATGTGGTTAATGGATTGACCTCCTTCTAGCGGACACCCTGTATATATATATATATATATATAAAGACAATAAATCAAAAAAAAAAACTAATACCTTAGGATTTGATTATTCTGTATCAAGGCACAATTATTTACTAATATCAGTGGATCATTATAGGTATGCAGATGAATCATTCTACGATGGCGATTGGGTGAAAGATGCCAGGCAAGGTGCCGGATTACAAGTTTTCTCTAACGGCAACAGATACGAAGGAGACTGGTACGATGACATGAAGCATGGCAAAGGCAGGTTTGTCAAAAATTGGCTATTATTTTGCCCCACCTCAAAATGTCGAATCAAATTGAAACTTCGCACACTCATCAAATCAATCGAAATTCAGCTTGAGGAACTCCTATGAACTAAAATTCGAAATTTCATCATACCTGACAACACAAGATTCATTTCATTTGATGTTTAAAACCTATTTCCAAGTATACCTCCCGAACATACACTATTTTTAGTTGAAGAGTTATTAGATAAGAACCATGTTAATCCGATAACCAAACGAGAGATTTTAGACCTTCTGTCGATATGTCTCAAACAAAATTACTTTCAATTTGACAACAGAATATATTCCGCGTCAAAAGCGTTAATTATGGGAAATCCACTGAGCCCTTTACTTGCTGAAGTTTTCATGGATAACCAAGAGCAAATAATACATAAACATGCATTGACAAAACAATGTTTGTATTGGTATAGATACGTAGATGACGTAATAGTATGCTTTAAAGGAACCAATAGACAATTGGACAGTTTTCACCAATATATCAATACTATTCATCCAAACATAAAATTCACAATGGAAATAGAAACAGGAAAGTCGATCAATTTCTTAGATTCGACAATAAGTAAAATTAATAATGAACATGATTTTTCAATTTTTCATAAACCTTCCCACACTGATATCACTATTCATAAAAATTCAACGCACACCCTTATCAACATAAAATTGCAGCATATAATAGTATGATACACAGGCTATAGTGAATGTCAGTAGTTAAACAAGAGGGTTTCTACGGAAATTTGGCAGTTGGCCCACCTAATGGAAACCTATTACATTCATTATGACGTATAACGTTCAGTTCACTTAATAATTTTATTTAATTAAAAAAAGATAATCATACCGTATAGGATTTGAACTTTGGATCTCTGGGTTGGCAAGCCGACACGTTACCAAGTGGCTATGGGGGGTCCAATTTATCAACGTGCAAGTGTGGGTACGACTCAACTTGTCCCCCTGATTTCGAGAGATATTTTTTGGAGGGCCATGAGTATGGATATTCGACATATGGATGGGTATATGGATATTTGGGGGGGTTCATTTTGCTTCATTGGGCCAATATGAGCAATTTAAATAGATATATTGGGCTTATGAATGAGTTTCAGTAAATATTTCTATGTTCTACATAGATTTGATTTTACGGTACTGCTAGTGCCCTCACTCGGATGTGAGTGGAAACTGTTTGCTATGCTTACCTTCTCCTATTACAGAGGTCTTTTTGAAGAATCCACTCGTATGTGTTACGCTTCAACCTAATTCCGCGAGGTGTCGCTACTGATACTGTTTTCCAAGGTTTGTAGAACTGATGATTATTCTGTGTTTTCAATATTAAATATGTTTTGCTAGTCTATATGGCCGTTTTTTGTGTTCCTAGAGTACCTAATTAAGCGAGGTGTTGCTACTGATACTGGTTTCAATATTTCCGTTCTTCAAACCTACCTTTGATTCCACCGTACCGCTGGGGTCCTCATTCGGGCGTGAGTGGAAACTTTTTTCTGCGTCTACCTTTCACAGAGGTCTTTTTGAAGAATCTATTCATATGGTTCACGCTTCAACCTAATCCTGCGACACCGCTACTGATACTGTTTTCAATATTTAATATGTTTTGTTTGTGTATATGGCCGTTTTTGTGTTCCTAGAGTACCTAATTAAGTGAGATGTCACTACTGATACTGTTTTCAATATTTCCGTTCTCCAAACCTACCTTTGATTCCACCGTACCGCTGGGGTCCTCATTCGGGCGTGAGTGGAAACTGTTTTCTGTGTCTACCTTTCACAGAGGTCTTTTTGAAGAATCTATTCGTATGGTTCACGCTTCAACCTAATTCCGCGAGGTGTCGTTACTGGTACTGTTTTCAGTATTTAATATGTTTTGCTAGTCTATATGGCTGTTTTTGTGTTCCTAGAGTATTCCTTTTCATAAAATAAGTATATGTTACTCCCAAAACATTGAAAAACGCACATTAAACACAAAAAAAACGGACCGCAAAGCGTTCTGGATGGCGCCAAAAGACAAAATATGGAAATGATATAATGTTTCGCTTTGTGTACGTTCTTCTTGGAAAATTAGGTATTCTGAAGTCCGATGTACCTATATTCTTTGAAAGTTCCAATTCCCGAATGTTATAGATGAAATATAACATTCAGGTACCAGTACGTATAGGTATATCAAGAATGAATAAATAATTGACTTATGCAATGGAAATTAATGAATCTATTACATCAGCTATACATAAAAGGTTAACATGCACCAGGAAATTGAAATGGAAACATTTTTTTCAAAATAAGTGAATGTATATGCGACGGAGAACTATTTATATAAGGTGAAATTCAGTTCGAGAAGTACACAGTTAGTTGAAAACACAGTGAATTTATATACCAAAGAAGAAGAAGAAGCAGACAAATTTGGGTGAGTGTTTCATTATCATTATTAACTTTAAAAATTTTGATAGAGTTAGATTGAGATAAGTGAATTATTTTTTTAGGTGAGAAATACATGAAATATTCTCTCTAATAGAAATCGTTAATATTGAATGAGGAAAATGAATACTGTTGACGAAAAAATGGTAATATAATCTTGTGCGTGGGTGTCTCTTCACTTTTGAATTATTATATTTATATTTTAAGGTTCTAAAAGTGATGAAAACTAATCAAGCTGCTTATATACCAACAAGAGGTACTCTTGGATCTGCTGGTTGTGACTTAAGAACACCTACAGATTTCACTATACCTGCTAGAGAGCGATTACTCGTAGACATTTTTTTAAAAATACAACTCCCCCAAGAAGTGTACGGACGGATTGCACCCAGATCCGGATTAGCGTTAAAATTTGGCATAGATATTCTTGCTGGCGTTATAGATAATGATTATACAGGGTCAATTAAAATTCTGCTATATAATTCATCATCTGAAAAAGTTAATTTCAAAAGAGGGGATAAAATAGCTCAATTGATATGTGAACGATATTCTATTCCAATTATTGAGGAGGTTAATTTTTTGCATGCTACTGAAAGAGGGGAAAGAGGCTTTGGTTCGTCTGACATTCTGCTAAATGATTGTCAATGATGAAAATAATCTCAGTTTTGAATAGTACCTCACAGAGTAAAGATAAATATCTTTCATTGAAAAAAAATATGACTTCATTGAAATCAAATTTCATAATTTTGACAGCTATTGTAAATGGTATAATATATACAAATGTACCCAAAGAAGCTCAATATATTGCTATATGTTTCGATATGAAAAATACGAAACTGGATTGCAATAGATCATCGTGGAAAGTGTTGAGCTCATCCAAGGAAAATTATGGTGAATTACCCGTTTTCAGCATAAAAATTCCAGAAGCGAACGCCACTCATTTGAACTATAAATTGAAGATAATATTTTTTGATCATTCTGAAGCAGATCAATGCCAATGGCAAACTATTCATTTCAATGAAACAAAACAAAATGGAAGTACTATGCAAGAAGGAACATACAGAATGTATTTAATATTATATATAACCTTAGTTTTGGTAATTTTAATATTTCTAATGCTTTTATTTAAAATGGTAGTGTCAAAGTATGATGCCTTTCAGTCGATACCTAATAATTAATCAATTTCATGGTTATTAATTGAGAAATCTTGATTTTTTTCAAATCTTTGAATAAAAAATATATGTATTATTGAAGTGATTGTTTGATTCAACCTTGAGAGAAAAAAAAAATAGCCCCCCACACCTTCTTCTGATTATTTAAATAAAACCGTGAGAGGAAAAAAATATAGTATCAGACGAAATGAATGTATTCAAAGACAAAGAAGATATATTTTTGGGTGAACGTAGATTTTATTTGAACCCTAATTATTCAAAGTATGTGTCGATCTGTATATCAGTACATTTAGGTTATGTCCCTTGTGTTGTGATAACAGATATTGATAAAGGTGCCACTTTAGTGTTTTCGGAGAAGGAATGGTCTGACGCTTAGTGAAAAACAGGGAAGCAATTGATAGTTTGCTGGTATCAACAACAGAAATTGTTGATACAATGGATCTTGGAAGATTTGCCATTGAATTCAAACAGGTCGAACCAAATTATAATAATAATATTAGAATTTACAGTGGTGATTCTAGTATGTTTTTAAATTATGAATCATTGTTAAAACTATGGCTTTTCACACCCATTATCCAGCATAGAATGGAGGTTCTAAAATCGCTAAGATTCGATAAAGTCATGAATATGCTTCAATTAGGAGTGAAGAAGGATCTAATTGACTGGTCATTGAAGGTGCTCGATACAATGAAAGAAATAAATCACGAAGTGTATGCACTTGGATTGGAAGTAACGTATCATCATCCCAAACTCCTCTACGAAAACAATGAATAAGTTAGTAACATTTGGTGGTGCAGAGATCCATGTACTATACCTATGGAGTTACGCTTTTCGGGGAACGGCGAGACAAAGTCCTTGGAACATCGTTGCTGGAGATATATCAAAATTAGAGTGACGAATCAGGGAATCAGCTCTATGTTCAAATCATATAATGAATATAGATCATAGGAATAGGGTATATGAATAAATAAATAAAATACCTATATAACTGACTATTTTTTTATTTATCGATTCAATTCTTACAATACGTTTTAAACCTAAACTATATCATTTTCATTTATCCAAGAATTATGTGATGAATCGAAACCCAACCACTGGACAAAGAGTTTTTTCCCCTTCCTACGGATGACTTTTGATACCAAATGAATATCGGGATACTTGGCTTTCTGTAATTCTTCTGTATAGAATGCCCCTTGTATCTGTTCCTTTTTGCTATCTTCTAGAATATATGTGGTAGGATTAGTTAATTTAATATGCTTGATTTTAAATACTTCAGTGGTCCAATTTGGGGTATAGGACTTAGTGAATGCGTGTCGATACTTGCTGATTCGTACCCACTCGCCTTTGCTGAATTTTGGTTTTTTTGGATCAACAGTTTT